ATGCCCTAATAAATGTGTTAGTCTCTAAGGTGCCACCAGGACTCCTCGTTGTTCTTACAAAAGAGCAGGTTTCACCGACACATTTAGATGGATACTATGGAAACATCCCTAGACTGGCCCTAAAATCTTTCCATCACAGAAGCCATTACTGTTTTCCCCTGATGGTTTCTAACTCCCTTTCGTTGTGTGTTTTTCCTCTCATTTGAAATTTGCCAAATAAAATCACAGTTAGGTTCAAATGAACAGGAGGAGGTTCCGTGCTGTTGCACCTGGGATGAATTATTTGCTAACCCTGATCTCAGGGCAGAGAATTCTGCTGCGTCCAAAGGAGTGTCTCTCTTCCTGTAACCACCGGGAGAACTTTGAGCTCTGCCAAGCCATTCCGCTCTGCTCCGAACCCTTTGACCCGGAGAAGTCTTTGTGCTTCTGAGTACAGGCGATGGAGTGACAGTTTGCATTAGGGGCTAGGTTACCTCATCTTTTGCTCTGAAAGCACAATGGTAGCTTCCTGTCCCAAGCGGGAGCAGGCTATTGAACAGACCCTGAGAGGCCCTTGGGATGTGAAGATATTTATTCCCCTCGTGTGACGCCCAAATTAGTGATGGGACCAAGCCTCAGAATTAATCTCTGGAGCCCAAAACAGTCCCCAAGCACGGGAGTGCTCAGATCTGGCATTTGCTTTGGACCTATTTCATGTCCAAATATACATTGGAGATCAGTTTGTCCCAGTCGCCGTGCCAATATTTCCACCTGTTGAGGTAAAACTCCGATTCTCTAAGGACCTGTCTACATGGGGAAACTGACTAGAACAACAAGAGGAGAATAAACCACTCCAGAATAACTGCCGGTGTGGTGGAGACTCTAGACCAGATAAAGAGATCACATTCCAGATTAGTTACTCTGCTTGGGAAGTACATTGATTATCCTGGAATAAAAGTGACTTTCATTGTCTCCGCAGATCCCCCACCCCAACAAGCCAGCTGGCCCTGCCGTTGGCCTTGGCACCCATTCGAAGCTGTTAGCCGTTGGGGGAGTGGGCACATGCCCATTTGACTCCCACATTGTGGAACCAAGGGAAGATGCAAACCCCAATAATCCTATTCCTGTGCCAGGGGCTTAGGGGAGTCATTGTTTGGTTTTGCTTTTAACCCTTTGTCTGGTAGGGAGTTCATAGGGGGCTCCCCCACATTACTGTATTTTGGCTGAGGAAGGACTAACCATGTGAGTAAAACAAGCAGGCTATAGCTGGCGTTAGGTCCCTTCTGCCTTGGCAGGCGGTGAAAGAAGCCAGGGCACAAGAGTTCTTGTCCTGACGAAATATCCCCAGAGCGTCTTTGACTTGGCCACTCCTGTGATGCCAGGACACTCTCCTGGATCTTTGCCCGAGGAATGTTAGGATCCATTGGACAAGGTTGGCAGCCACCCTTGCCAGACACCCTGCTTGCCCAAAGGGTTCTGCACTGTGCCAGCGAGGCAGCCTCCCCCATTGAACCTGAGCTCTTGGTGTGCTTCTACCTTATCAAAACATAGAGCTATGTGTGCTCAGGGTGAGGGCCCAACATCTGGCTCATATTGGGGCACATAGCCTGGTAGTTTGAATTTACATATAACCCGGCGCCATCTAGAGGCTGGGATAAGGTGACCATCAGGAGTCCCAGACCGCATATATTTGCAAAAGTGGCCTCTAAGGGTACGTCTACACTGCAATTAGACGCCCACGGCTGGCCCGTGCCAGTTGACTCGGGCTCGCGGGGCTCAGGCTACGGGGCTGTTTAATTGTGATGTTGATGTTTGGGCTCAGGCTGGAGCCTGGGCTCTAAGACACTACGTGATAGGAGAGCTTGGGCTGCAGCCTGAGCCCGAATGTCTACACTGCAATTAAACAGCCCCTGAGCCCTGAGCGCCCGAGTCAGCTGGCCCAGGCCAGCCGTGGGTGTCTAATTGCACTGCAGACATACCCAACACTGCCAGCCAAATGGTGGGCCTAGAATTACATGCTCACCCCTTTGTGCTCGCAGCTGCACACTTTTCCTTTCCTAGCTTTCTGCCTGCACCCAGTTTTGGAGGCCAGGTTGAGATCTAGCTAAAATCAAGGCCAAGACGGCTAAGCACAACTCTGTGGTCAATTAGGGTCATGATTACGCATGTCACAAACCCGCCCCCCCACCCCGCAAACATGGAGATTAGATTGAGGTCCTTTCCATAATTAAGTCCTTATAGTTCAGTCATTTTGGACTTATATGAGTACAGTAAAAATGCTGAATCCTGCTTCTCTTGTTCACATGAGTCGACCATTCTCAGTTGGATAAGAACAGAAGAACATCTCATAAGAAGGGCCATACTGGGTCAGACCAATGGCTCAGCTAGGCCATCCTGTCTCCGACAGAGGCCAATGCCAGATGCCCCAGAGGGAATGAACAGAACAGGGCAATTTATCAAGTGATCCATCCCCTGTCGCCCACTCCCAGCTTCTGGCAGTCAGAGGTTTAGGGACACCCAGAGCATGGGGTTGTGCCCATGACCATTTTGGCTAATAGCCATTGCTAGACATATCCTCCATGAACTGACATTTTTTAAACTCAGTTATACTTTGGGCCTTCACAACATCTCCTGGCAAGGAGTTACACAGGTTGGCTTTGTATTAGTAGGATTTTATGTTTGTATTTTGTATAATCTAGAATGAAGGATAAAGAATAAGATAATAATGTAGCATGTATTAAATGTATTGATGTATGATTTGACCATATCCTGCCAGCCACCCTTTTTGAGTAGCAGAAAGGAATGGTCTAATGTGCCATTGGTAGAGATGCATCATCCAGAATTTCTTTGTGTTTGGACTTATTTCAAGGCAGTAACAGACCTTTGAGGGCCATCACTTTGTTGTACTTTTAGCATTTTAAAATAAGTAAAAGAATGTGGTGATTGTTTTTCTTTTGCATTGCAATTTGATGTTTCTGTTCAAAATGTTCTATGTAAATTAATTCTGTTTTGTGTGTGAATGAGGAATGTGTGTTAAGAGATAGGTGTGAAGGCCATCACTGAACCAGATGTTCTAGGGAGACGCAAGGGCACCAGGAGGCTGTAACACGCCCCTATTGAAATGCCAGAGGAGGGCAGATTGACGACTCTAAAGATGAGACAGGCACCTATCAATGGGGACAAGATAGCAGTGATCAAAACCAGCATGGGATAACTCCCTGAGAGACTTAATAAAAGAACAAGATAAAGAATGAAAAGGACAATTTAAGAAAACAAGCACTCGTCAAACAACAATTGATTACAGCATGACAGTGCAAAACTCGTTGGTCCCAATGAAGGAAAATCACTATATAAACAGGGGGCCTTTGGGTTCATCCTGCCAAGACTTCCCTGGAGCATCGTGTCGCGACCGACAGAACCCGGCTCTTACCTACCCGTGATCAACCTCGCTGGCCACTAGATTGATCCGGACTCTGGACTGGTAACTATAACATCAACTGGCGGGGCAGTGTGTGTGTGTAGTGTGATTGAATGCATATGCTAATTGTTGTATCTTCAATGAACGCGGCATATTGCCGTTTCCCCTGAAAAAGATCCCGTGTGCTTCTTATAAGCAGAACATTTTTGGTGGAGAATGTGTTGTGTGAAGTAGTACTTCCTTTTGTTTTTTTAAAACCTGCTGCCTGTTAATTTCATTGGGTGACCCTTGGTCCTTGTGCTATGTGAGAAGGTAAATAACACTTCCCTATTCACTTTCCCCACACCAGTCATGATTTTATAGACCTCTATCATATACCCCCTTAGTCGGCTCTTTTCCAAGCAGAACAGTCCCAGTCTTATTAATCTCTCCTCATGAATAGCCCCACTGAATGAATGGGACTCACTCACCTATGTAAAAAGCAGCAGGATTTGACCCTAAAGGCTACATCTACGCTTGGAGCTAGGGGTGTGATTCATAGCTCATGCAGACACTCTTGTGCTAGCTCTTTTCAAGCTAGTATGCCAAAAATAGTAGTGTAGCCGCACTAGCACAGTCAACGGCAAGTGGTGGCCTAGCTTAGCCACCGCCAATACGCGCCTACGGGGTCCAGACAGGTTTGTGCACTGGGCAGCTAGCCTATGCCACCGCTCACCACTGCCTGTGCTACTGCAGCTACACTACTATTTTTAGCCCAATGAGAGTGAATGCGAGTATGTCTACACGAGCTGGGAACACACGCTGAGCTCCAAGTGTAGACAGTCAAAGTCTGAAACGTATTACTTTTTTTTAAAGACAGAAAATAATGCAAAACAATTAAATGCATTTTCCTCAAAGTTTTCCAAGGCAAAAAAATTACTTTGGGACATGGAAAATGTCAGCTCAAAAGGCCATTGTTTTGCAAAGTTATGCACAAGCAAAAGCAGGGTCTTATAATTGGGCTGGCAATGCTGCTGGAGCTTTTAGCACTACCAATGCCATAATGCCCCCAACTCAAAGAAAAATGCCTTCACCTCTCAACAGGCAAGGGGCCTTTTCTCCACTATCCTCCAACCTGTATAGTCAGTTATGCCAGTGACAGTGAGTGCAAAGTGGGTATAAAACACTGTCACACAAGAACAGGAGTGTTCCACACTCACTTTACACTGATGCATGGGACAATCCAAGGTCCAAGGCAAAGATCTGAAAGCCGGCTGGTTTTTTCAAGTTAAAGCTTAAACTGTGGAAAGGAACGGAGATGGTTTGGAAGGCAAATGCTCCTTGACCTACCTGGAATCACGGTGATTGTTTTCAGTGCGCGGAGGACACGGAACGTTCGTAGAGCTGAGACATTTCCCAAATCCACAAACTCTGTGGTGTAACTGAGGGAGGGGGGAAAGAAGGATTCAGAAGGATTCAGACTTTGATCTGCTGCGGTGACTGGAGGTGAGGGGTGTTTTCACAGCACTCTAGGTCATGGTCACTTTCAGAGACAAAAGTAGTAGCGCTGCCAACCTGCAGCGTTATCACCGAGGGAGCCTACAGGCTGTGTGCTGCTGTGAGTGCCTGAAGAGGACTCATTAGCACTTCACAGCTACTTGCAAAGACTAAGGGGGGAAGGTCTGGAGCTGTGTTGCCTTGCGGTTTTGTCTACACTGGGAAGTTTTACACCAGGTGAGCTATACTGATTGATTCCTGATGATGATGATGATGATAGCATCCTTGAGCTCCAGTCTTGGACATGGCCCCACTCCGCTAGGTGCTGTACAAACACAACACAGAGATGCCCCCTGCATTCATTGGAGGTTTTTAAGAGCAGGTTGGACAAACACCTGTCAGGGATGGTCTAGCTAATCCTTAGCCGTGCCTTGAGTGCAGGGGACTGGACTAGATGACCTCTCAAGGTCCCTTCCAGTCCTATGATTCAATGAAATGCCTCATGTCCACATGCTGCACTGGTGCGTCTTACTCTGGTTTCAAGCCAAGGAAGATCAAGTCCCTTATTATATTGGTGCATAAGATGGCCGCTCCACCTTCCCTCAACACCGGACATTCCGGTACTTCTGGGAATGGTGTGACCCTATCCCTGCCCCCGCCGGTGTTAACTCTGCCCTCACTGGCATGGTGATGGGTGCGAGGTCATGCCACATGCGGAGGGGGCACCAACTTTCAGAATGGGCTGCCTCACCCCCACCAGCTGGGGCAGAGCCATCTGATACGGGACAAAACCATGTCCAGTTTTGTCCAAGTACCGGGCCATCCAGTTTAATCCTGGACTAGTGGCCTCCCTACTGTGCACTAGCCTGTGCGGACAAATCCTAGGATGTGGTAGTCACACTGTCATGAGGCCACTGTGGATGATGCCTTTAGGATCTGGGCTAGGGTTGCCAGGTGTCCGGTTTTCCACCGGAACGCCCAGTCGAAAAGGGACCCTGGCGACTCCAGTCAGCACCGCCGACCGGGCCGTTAAAAGTCCGGTCAGCAGTGCTGCAGGTCTAAGGCAGGCTCCCTACCTGCCCTGGCACCGCGCTGTGCCCTGGAAGTGGCCAGCAGGTCCGGCTCCTAGGCGGGGGGCCACGGGGCTCTACATGCTGTCCCCGCCCTGAGCTCCGCGGCCAGTGGGATCCAGGAGGGGGCAGTGCCTGCAGGCGAGAGCAGCACACGGAGCCTCCTGCCCCCCCCCCCCCCCAGGCGGACCCCTCACCCCCCCTGCACCTCAACCCTCTGCCCCAGCCCTGAACCCCTCATCCCTGGGCCCACCCCAAAGCCCTCACCCCCGCAACCCTCTGCCCAAGCCCAGAGGCCCCTCCCACACCCTGAAACCCTCATCCCCAGCCCCACCCCATAGCCCTCACCCGCTCCTGCACTCCAACCCCCTGCCTCAACCCGCAGTCCCCTCCCACATTCCGAATCCCTCAGCCCCACCTCCCAGCCTAGAGC